GTTATCACTCATGAAGCAGCCACAAAGCGGTTAAATGAGCGGGGTCCGGAAGGCCTTTTTGCTTTCGCCAACATCAACCGCGCCTTCCAGTGGCTTGATCTCAGTTCGAAGCAGAAGGAAGAGCCGCTTGCAAAGATTCTCTTCACAAAGGCGCACATGTTGTGTCACGATATTAATGAGCTCACCAAAAGCCCTTCTCACATCGACATGGTCATGGGTTCCTCTGCCGGTGACATCATCTGGTATGAACCTATTTCTCAAAAGTACGCCCGAATAAATAAGAATGGAGTGGTCAGCAATTCTCCGGTCACTCATATTAAATGGATTCCTGGGTCGGAAAATCTGTTTATGGCTTCGCACGCAAACGGACAGTTAGTGGTCTATGATAAAGAGAAGGAAGATGCTCTTTTCACCCCTGAAATTCAGGATCAGTCAGCGGAGGCACTCAAGGCGTCCAGTAGACAGCCGCTGCAGGTGCTAAAGTCCGTCAACTCTAGGAACCAAAAGACTAACCCTGTCGCGCTTTGGAAACTTGCAAACCAAAGAATATCACACTTTGCATTCTCCCCAGACCAAAGGCATCTTGCAGTTGTCTTGGACGATGGCTCTCTACGAGTGATGGACTACTTGAAAGAAGAGTAGGTCTCTGTTCTTACTAGCCGTACATTCAGTATCTGAAAAGCAGCTAACGAGCCGCTCAGGGTGTTGGACATTTTTCGCAGTTACTATGGTGGTCTCATCTGCGTCTGCTGGTCGCCTGATGGCAAATACATTGTCACTGGCGGACAGGATGATCTAGTGACTATTTGGTCATTTCCAGAGCGCAAAATCGTAGCCCGCTGTCAGGGTCACAACTCCTGGGTTTCCGCAGTCGCCTTCGATCCATGGCAGTGCGACGAACGGACCTACAGATTTGGGAGTGTTGGTGACGATTGCAGGCTTCTTCTGTGGGACTTTAGCGTTGGCATGCTGCATCGACCGAAAGTGGTACGTATCCCTTTCTCACGAGATCTAGCATACACGCTCGAAAATCTTAAATTAGTTCGGGATGGTGAGGTTTGATCTGCTGTGCTGACGAATCTTTAACAGCATCAAGCCAGCGCCCGTCAGCGAACAAGCATAGTCGCCGGCAGTTCGCAGTATGGCAATCGTCACCGAGCTGATAGTGCGGGCAACAGGATGAGGTCAGATTCTCAAAAGACAGCAAACACCTATGAGAGTTGTGACCAAGCTGTCCGTCACCCTGTAGAACCCAGAGCACGCACGGCCTTACTGCCGCCTATCATGGTGAGTTCTGAGTAATGCTCATAAGCATTTGGACCATTGAATCTTGAGCTGACGACTTCAAAGTCCAAAGTCGTTGGTACGGACCCTGTCTGCTGGCTGGGCTTCCAAGAAGATTGTATCATGACCTCTTCTCTTGAAGGTAATTCGCCCTTGTTTCTATACATCGCTTGTCGTCTCATGAGACAGCTGCTAATGTGGGAGGTTGACAGGCCACATTCGCACCTGGGACCGACCTCGAGAAGGCATAAATGACAAGTACAATGACCAGTCATCGTCACTTGCGGTCAGCGCCAGCGCAGCTGGCTCGGGATCTGTCTCGGGGCTTGCTGAATCGACCATGGGCTCGCTGTGAGGACTTGTGACAAAGGCTGACGCTTGACTGCTTCTGTATATATATATATATATATATTTCACTAGTATACCCATTTGTTTTTATTCAAGACAACTCGTTCCTGTATTGATTCGCACCACCTTCGAGTAGGTGGCGTTGGCTTCTTGTTTGGACGAAAGGATTTCATGTCCAAGAAGTTGACTTTGGCCTGAGTATGGATGTATGCTATCGAGGCCGCAGACAAAACAAGCAGGAGACCTTCCGAGAAGCCGAAAGCAAATCCAGGCTAACAGTGTGACGAGTGCATATGGAGATCCACTATGGGCTGAAGATGTGCATGCATACATCACTAGCCTGCTCTCCTTGCATGAGGATTGAAGTTTTCAATACCAACGTACACCACGAAGACCAGCGGTGAGCTCAAGACCAGGAAAGAAAGTTCGTTATCAATTATCAATTATTGTGCAGACAATGAAATGCATTAAAAAGCATGTTCTCATCCATCATATCAGTATCACCGTTCGTATCCGTCGCATATCATGCCCTGCAAAATATATATGTACCAAGAACATTCCCAAATGTCGTAGTATGACGTCAGTCTCAAAAACACCCTTACTTGCTCACTGAGAGTCCTATTTCACACGACTAGAGCGAAAAGACCCAGGATGAATGAGCCGACAGCGGCTGGGGCGATGAGAGATGCAGCAGCGTTAGTCGTGGCGGTAGCTGTAGCGGAAGCTGTCGCGGTGGCGGTTTGGCTCTCTGCGAGAGGAAAAAGATGTTAGCATGTATGATCCAGGTTATCTTGATTGAGAAATCTTACCGGTGGAAGTAGTCTTTGGCTCAGGCTTGACGTCTGTGACGTTGAACTGGGGAGACTGGGCCAGGATCCCCGTGTTCGTGGGTCCGGTGCTGACGAAGTTGATCTGGTAGCCGTTTCTTTTGGTTCAGAGTCAGCCTAGCCTATAGCTGGAAAGAATATGAGAACTTGGACGTACGCCTTGGGAATACCAGAGACACCGTCCACAGTGTACTTCTCATCGGAGGCTTTGACTTCCTTGGAAATGACTTTGTTGACGGGGGGCTGGGTGATCATGTTGACGAGGACGATGGAGAAATTCTGGGGGTCGGATCTGTTGCGATGTCTCAGTGATCGTCCTATAGAGGAGTTTATGCAGGAGGACTTACTGGACATATTGCCATTCGATATTGACAGACTTGCTCATGTCCACCTGGTCCAGGCTCTTGGGGGATGTGATGGTGAGGGCTTGGGTCACGTTAGTAGGGCCATCGCCTCGTGAAGAGGGATATATGGAAGACGTACCGGTAGCGGTAGCTGCGAGAGCTATGATTGAGGCGAAGAAACGCATTGTGATCGAAGTTTCGTCAATTCGAGCTGGTATATCCCAAAGGAATAGGTAATATACTGGTGGAAGGCAGGACCCTGTGAACTTGAATCTGTGAATTGTAATGGAAGTTATCTCAATGCCAGAGGACGACTGCCGTCTTTATAGATGCAAAGTCCAAGACCTTCCTTGACTGTCTCCTCCCGAATCGAAACGACGTTAAGCACATTTTGTTGTTTATTTGGATACGTCTGCGGTCGTGCGTCGACGCGAGGGATTCCATCTGATGTGTCTTTTCTCGTTTATAGCTCCAGCGACGAACTCATGACTCCGGCATTGCGTCTTTGATTAGTAGTATTGAAGATGTAGGTTTTACTGAGTCGATGGTGTTGCATATCGACTATGTGTCCGAAAAGACACGACTGAGCGGTGATTGAGCCCTCGTGCCCTGAATACATAGAGGATAAATGTTGTCCGTATGCAGCATCATGACAGGTCATGTCTTCAACCATTTGGTGTTTCTTCGGTGTAAGGAATAGCTGCTGGTCTATGACACGTTGCTGGGCTACACTTTTGGGCTTCAATTGCGGAGAGCAAGAGTCTCTATGCATTTTTATGCGATGAATTGTCTTTAAGATTACTTCTTGAGGCTATTGATCCCTTCTAGAGAGTGAAGGATGTTACTTCGCAAAGAAGGGCAATGAGTACTGATAGTTTCACCTCGGCGAAACTTTAGACCACCTAGTGCGTAAATCTCTCTACAGTCACTGGAAGTATGGTATTTTTCCAGAGACTAATGAATAGGCGACGGGCGAGTTTCCTGGTCACACAGGTTTCGTCTGCTCTCAGTCTTCCCTTTGTTCCGCTACTTGACTACACAAATAAAGCACAAGCTACGCTTGAGTTTAAAGCAACTGGAAAGTATTTACTGTTGCTAGCTTCGAATTGATCTGCGTGCCGTCGGTCAATGCCTTCAAGTTATTCAAATCCTGGGACTATGGGCTGCAGTCTTGGTGATGACGGGTCCACCGATGTGCAGTGCATATGAGCTATCAATTGCCAGCCGATATCACGGTGCAGACTAGACGCAGCTAGACGCACATCCATCCATCTGAGAATGCGATCGTCTGTCGCGAGGCAATAGACAACAAGAAGGGTACAGGCTACAGCTGAACACTTGTATGGAAGCCTTATGCCCAAGGTGGCGCAACGATATTGATGCTCTCCGGTAACCTTGGGGTCAGTCAACATCTAACAACACTCATCTCCTCTTCTTTGCAAGAAGCAAATTGGCTTGTCCGGGTTCCTTGTTGCAGCAGAACCTGTCGACGGTCATCCATGACGTTATCCAACATGCCCCTGCAACTACCTACCCCTTTACTAATGGAATGATAGCAACCAGGTCTGGCAGGCTGTGGTGATATCCTGAGCGCTGCAGGTCTATACAAAAAATCTCCATTTTGATGGATACTTACAGAAAAGATCACTGAAATGACGATCCCAGAATGCTGCATATGGAGATTCTAACCGTGACCAGCTAATCAGAAGGAAAATAGTGCTCTGCATCATCACAGTGTTACAATCACGATAATGTGGCTTAGTTGATTTCCCTGCTGCCTGAACTTCATATAGTACAGCATAGGTTATGCTGATCCTTTGGCTTGAGCTTCTGCGGCAACCATGCAAGAAGAATCACACAACTCCTTGCAATACCGGCTGTTTCCACACAAGCAGTAAATGGAGTCGCGGATATGAGCCTGGTATTATGCAATGATTACTTGTTCCATGCTGTTACTACTCAAGCTCGTCACATCTAGAGGATTTCATCAGCACCGGGCAGGGGGTACGTATTGTTCGAGGGCGTGAACGTCGAGGACTCTTGCGTCGAGGAGGCACCTGGGTGGTTTCAAAATAATACTATATAAAGGAGGCTAGAAGGCCTCCTTCGAGCCCAGTTTGAGAGCATCAACCATCACCCAGGCTTTCTTCTACTGCTTTCCTCCAAGGACCCATAAAATCTCTCGCACAAACTCACCATGAATCTGAAGACTGTTACCATCCTCCTCGGCCTATGCGAGATACTCCTCGCCGTCCCCATTCAAGGCTCCCTGAGAGATAAACGTCAGGGTTTCGGAGGCTTCAATTTCGGTGATCTGGCGAATACAGGTTCTTCCGGCACTACCACAGGCTCAAACACCAATCCGTTTGGGTCGTTGTCTGGCCTCATTCCGTCCACGAGCGGCTCAGGCTCCTCAACCGGCACTGGGAATATGATTTTCCCAGCTGGAACTTTGACCCCCGGCTCTCAAGCCGGCAATGACGAAACAAACCAAGGACTGTCTGGATCTGGCGACCTTTCCCAGGGCGGAGAGGGTGGTCAAGACGCCGATGAGGGTGACAGCCAAGAAGACGAGACTGTTGCTTGAATATGCTTCACACCTTTGAGCATTCATGACAGCAAAACCGAACACGTCATCCGAAGAGCAAGGATTTTTCATTTCTTTTGTCAATGTAGGCAGAGAACAAGGATGGGTCGGGCGGGCATTGACTTATTGCTGCCCGGGGCTTCTGTTGTTTGCTCCTTTCCGGTCATCTTTTGGCTTATATGAGCGTCAAGGATAACACTGCTATTGTTTCCGCCTAGGCTTCCCTTGCATCAGCATCAGCAATGTTGATCATGTTAGTCAAAATCTAAATGATTCGTTTTCTCGGAGGGAATTTCATAATTCTGTGGCCAAAGGAGAATGTAGAGATGGCCTGTTATGCTGCCCCAAAGTACCTCAGACGCTGGTCATTGTCTAAAGGGCCCTCAAGATCTTTGATCGTCTTTGGACGTTTGAACAATCTCCTAGGTAGTTTATCTATGAGGTCACGAAGCTGGCTGGCGGTTGGGATCGCAAACAGCCCATTATGTCATCTGTGATTGGTGCATCAACTTCCCCGCCCCGACGAATTTGTGGTTTCTCAGCACAAAGAGCCTAATCTTCCTGCTTAATGGTCAAAGGAAATTCTAAGATTCTCACTCTCCAAGTAATGATAAAGAGACTCCGAATACACTGTCGACATATAATCAGCGATTTTGAAGATGGGTGACACAGGCAATAGCCTGTTGAAAGTCAGTTCCTACACGTCTGGAGCCTGAGTGGACAGGAAGCTAATTGTTGGATTGTGCTGTTTCGAATGTTTAGGAGCTTGAAAAGGAATATTGTCCTCCTCTGGATTCAGCTTTGTTCACAGCTATCGTCTCCGACTATGACTTAGAAAACGCCGCACAGGTCCAGCAGCTCCGCGACACGCTGGACACCTTGAAATTATCAGCATGGGAACAGGAAGATCTACCCTTCGATCCATCCGGAACCAGCGGACTGAGTCCTGGCACTACCGGTGATGCAGATGGCATCCTGTCGGAGCGCAGTGGCTCGCAAAACGGCACTGCCCCGTCGCGCGAAACAGATCTCACCAGTCTCGCGTCCGACTTCTCCTCCGTTGGTCTGGATGACAGGCGCACGAGGAGTCAGGGCAGAAGCAGTTCTTTGCGCTACACGATCGGCTTGGACGGGTCGCTGTCGCTCTCTGGCGCCTCTGAGGACGACAAAGTTGGTTATCTGACAGATATGTTTCCCTCTGTGGATCGCTTTACCGTGCAGCATTCGCTTAGGAAGTCTGCCGGTGATATTGATCGCGCCATGGACATACTCTTGAACATTGCTTTCTTTGATGAGCAGCATGAAGATGAAGACGGAACTAAGCTTGCCATTCCAAAGGGCATCGATGGCTTTGGCGAGTGTTCCAACGGAGACACCGGGCGAAAGAAAAACCGCAAGCGCAAGGGGAAAAATAAGAATAACCCGGTCCAGGGGCTCTCTTCTCCGTCAGCCTCAGGATACATGCAGGATGAGAATCTTCCCCTGAACAAATGGGACGCTGGTCAGAAAGATATCGAGTTCATCTGTTCTAGGACTTTGCCTGTCCTGAAGAAGGAGGCTGTCACTTCTGCTTATCATGCTAACGGAGCCTCACTGCCACTGACGATTCGATCTCTTGCGATGGCACATGCGCCTGAGGAAAACCATATCAATGCGCACCCCGTACTGCTTGCACAAGTTGCAGAATTGACGCAAGAATTTCCGTCTGTTGCGCCAACACTACTGGGTGGGCTACTGAAAATCACTCGCGATTCAACATCTGCCGCGGGTGAGCTGGCAGTCGCCATGCTTACCCGTCCAGCGGCCAGTTCTGTGTCTAACTTGATCAAGATCACCGCTGCGCCTCCGCCATTGGACCTCGATGATGATGGAGCCCCCAAGAGGTCTTCTGTGGAGCCGCGAGTCCTTCGTCACGATACTGCTCGGGTTACCGCTGGCGACCACTTTGTGGCTAGTGCAGAGGCTTTCCACAAAGCCTCAGCAGCTTACCGTCGCGGAAAATCAGACAAATTAATGGGCGGAGCCGCTGCTTACTACTCCTCGGTGGGACGAGACCATCTTGAGCGGGCGAAGCGGGAGGCTGCCGCTGCGGCCGATGCTTTAGTCGACTCGCAGTCAACCTCCAATTCATTGGATTTGCACGGCGTCTCGGTCCAGGATGCCGTTCGCATCGCCAGTTCACGCGTCACCGAATGGTGGGACTCTCTTGGCGATGCGAAATACATGCGCGGCGGCGAGGCAGCGCGATCAGGCTTTCGCATCATCACCGGAGTCGGACGCCACAGTCACGATGGCACGTCTCGTCTGGGGCCGGCTGTTGGTAAACTGCTGGCCAGGGAAGGATGGAGAGTAGAAGTGGGTGAGGGTGTTTTGACGGTGACAGGTGTTGTTCGACGTCGTTGACATGTTACTCCATTTTCTGATCATGATCACGTTTAAGATACCCTACAGTTATTTCATCTGTTTGATCTACTCGATGTCCAAGGATTTAATGTCGGTGAATACCGCATCTAACGGATATAATTGTTTACCTGTTTCCAAAATATACCCATTTTCCTCTACATTTTCCGGCGGTGATTCTCCGCATGATGACGTAAACCGTAGAGGCAAATCGGAGATTCAGCAATGCATCGATAATCTGATACAAGCCTCGCTTCCACCCATACGTGGCTGAGGCTTCTACGGGTAAATCTAGGTAAGATTCTCGACCTGATCTTCTCACTAATCCAGAGGCCATAATTCTGGTCCATCCCGATGCGTCTCCAACGTCTCACTCGATTTCTCCGCATCCTCACCACCACACCTTTCATCACATCCGTCACTCCACGACCCATTACTAGAATACCTTTTCCATTTTCAAGAACCACAGCCCTCAAAGCTGCGCCCACCATTCCATTCCTAAGCTCGTTCTTCAGCTCAAGTGCCAAAGCTGAAGAGTCCAACATGTCCTATCCCGACCAGCGAAGTGAGGCGGAATGGCGGGCAGTCCTGTCTCCAGGTGAACCTCCCTCTACAATACACTATACACCAAAGAATAGTGATTTAATCTATTGAACAGAACAATTCCGCATCCTGCGGGAAAAAGGCACAGAGCCCGCTTACACAGGCGAATATGACTCCCAGTACCCCTCCAAGGGCGTCTTCACTTGCGCCGGCTGCAACGCCCCGCTCTACAAAGCCACGCATAAATTCAAGTCCGGGTGCGGCTGGCCTGCATACTTTGACTCCATCCCCGGGGCCGTGACCAGACATACGGATCGCTCGTTTGGGATGGAGCGGACGGAGATAGTGTGTAGTAACTGCGGGGGTCATCTGGGTCATGTCTTCAAGGGCGAGGGGTACCCTACGCCGACCGATGAGAGGCATTGCGTGAACAGTATTAGTTTGAAGTTTACCGAGGATGAGGAGGCAGTAAAGTCAAAGGCTTGAAGATTTGAGGTGCGAGAATAAGTAGCAATTTGATGATGATATTCTGCACGGCAAGGGACAGGGGTTGAGGAGTGGGGCACACAGTGGACAATAACATGCTTTTATAGAAAAGTCCTCAAGGCTCTATTCAACATAATAGACTTATAGTCTCGATGATTTGTATTATATTCGAATTTCTAAGTCTTCGTAGGCTCCGTCTTGCATGTCCGGCACGTGCAGCTCTCTGCATTGGGCATCCACAATTGGCTGCCTCAGGCCGCACAGGATCCGTATCCGCCACTTGGTGATTGTCCTCCGTTATTGAATTCCCCCAAATACAACAACCATTAGTTCCATCTCTTCCAGCCATCGAGAGGACCGCGCTACCAGCTGTCATGTCTCGACGTGCGACTCCTTCCCAGGCTGCCCAGAACCAGCAGATAATCAAGAACCTGCTGAAAATCGAGTGCAATAAGATATGTGCTGATTGCAAGCGCAACAAGCGTGAGTTGTGCCCGCCCCCGGACATCCTGGTCTTGTCGTATCAACTGCCAATCCGCGCCTTTCAAACTGTGTGTCTTGACCTTTTTGCTGACGATCTATTCTATCAGATCCGCGATGGGCCTCATGGAATTTGGGAATCTTCATATGTATCCGTTGCTCGGGCATCCATAGGGGGATGGGCACCCATATCAGCCGGGTGAAGTCTGTGGATCTCGATTCGTGGACCGATGAACAACTCCAGAGTGTGATCCGATGGGGCAATGCTAGAGCGAACAAGTATGTATCGAGCGGTCAATGCTCGGGGGTTGAATTGTACGCTGATCGTGTATTCGCAGATACTGGGAAGCCAAACTGGCGCCTGGTCACGTCCCCTCGGAAGCGTGAGTCGGCCCCGTCGTCACAACAGCATAACCAACACTAATGGGAACGTGGATAGTAAGATCGAGAACTTCATTCGCACCAAATATGAATCGAAGCGATGGGTTATGGATGGGCCAATGCCCGACCCGGCAACGTTGGATGTGGGTGACGACAACGTGGTAAGCTCTATCGGCGCATTTGTTGGATCTGCGGTTGAATTAACATTCTCTCAAGCCTCTTGCAGTCGTCCAGGAAAAGGCAAAGATCGAGCGTTCGTCCTCTCAACGAGTAGCAAATGCTAGCCAACCTCCGATCACACACCGGCCCCAAGCATCTATTGACTTCTTCGGTGATGACGAGCCAATTACTCCGCCGGTTCGCCCTAGCACCACAGATCCCACCCCGCGGATCGCTGCGCCCAGGCAACAGTCGCAATCACAGCCTGCCGCAAAGCCGGCTCGACCGGGTGATTCGTTGCTCGGACTCGATTTCTTCGGAAGCGCTCAGCCCGCTACCACCAACCGTCCAGCCAGCACCGCATCTACCCCTGGTGGCTCGGCCGGAATGTCTCGACCTGATCTGAAACAATCAATCCTGTCTCTTTATTCCAAGCCCCAGCCTCCCGCGCAACATGAGCGCCAGTCTTCGTTTGGGGATTTAGCATCTCCGGCTCCGCAATCGGCGTCTTCCAACTTGGGCGGTCTGACCGATGCCTTCAGCGGACTGAGCTTCCCTTCGACTACTTCTCCGCCGCCTTCCAAGCCGGCTGAAAAGCCCTCGCCTTTTGCCAATTTGACGAGCTTCGCCAGCACCAAATCCACTCCGGCGGCTCCCAAGGTCACGTCACCTACCACCTCCGCCAGCAGTGGCTTCGGTGGCGGTCTCTTTGACAGTCTTACCTCTCCGACTATCCCGCCTGCCAAGCCTCAACTGCAGTCCCGTGCCGATTCCATCTCCAATAGCCATGATTTGGGTTTCTCCAGCTTTGCCTCGGCTTCCTCGCCCAAGCCGAACCCTCCACGATCATCCTTCTCCAACGATCTCTTCGGACTCTCTTCACCCCCTGCTCCTGCAGCTCCTGCAGCTGCACCGCCTATGGCAGCGTCGCCTCAGCAGGAGCTGAAATCCGCTTTCAACCTGAGCAGCCCGGCTCCTGCTCCTGCTTCAGCCCCAGCTCCCAAACCGGTAACCTCGACATCCACAGCCTCTGTCGCGAGCATGATCCCCAACGTGGACCCGTGGGGTGGTAACGAATGGAGCACTCCCGAACCCGCTGCCCCTGCCCCATCCACCTCAACCATGATGAAGGTCCCGGACACACTGACAGCCAACGACATTGGCGCCGGCTGGGGAGCCCCGGCCGCCCCCGCCGCAAGCTCGAAACCCGCGCCCACCGTAACCGCTGACGAAGACTTTGGCGGTTGGGCCAGTGCCGCACCTGTCCCGACTACAACCACAACAACCACGACCACGACGACCTCGAGCGCTCCCCCTAAACCGGCTGGCGGGTTTGGCGGAGCTGATGATCTATTCTCTAATGTTTGGCAATAGTTCCATTACTTCTTGTGTTGTTAATTCTTCAATTGCATATAGTGCTCACGGTGTCAACTTAGACTTAGGCGCCAGATCAATGTGAATTTATTTTTGTTACTCTTAATTCCTCGACCAGACTTGGCTGGTTCCTATTGGCATCGACGAAAGTACTCCTCTGTCTTTGACACAATGATCTTATCGAACCACATGTGGGAAAGTGATGGCCTGAAAGTCAACGCTGAAACGACTGCTGCCAAGGCTTTTTTAATGTCTATATTTCCGCTTGTGCGATCGTAAAGAGGACTTTCCTCCCACGGATCCCTCTTTGACTGAAATTCCAGTGAAGATGTGCCTTTGTACAATGCTGGGACTAGTATAATTAAAGAGACGGAAACCTCGCTGAGGCCAGTCCCAGTCTAAATCAGCCTTGCGCTTTCTCGTTTTGGCAGCAACGCCGTTAATAGTCAACCCATGTATGTTCTCGTGGTTCGTTTCGATCTTCTGACTAACAACTTGCTGCACTTCGTTGACACCGTCTTCGATGGATTTGCGTTCCTTTCCTCACCTTTCAGACTCGGAACTCTGGGCAAAACTGTCTGAAGCTCCTTAACCCTGTCGGCGAGCCCGCGTCCAATTTCATCTAGTTTTTTCGTCGACGCGTACGGATTATATATTGTCCTCGAACGCGCATGGAAATGGCAACGAGCAGTGGGAAGACTGGACCGTCTCAACGATCGCTTTGATCCCGCTCTGAACATTCGCAGAGCATATACTAGAGGAGGGCAATCAGCGAGCTGACTGTATTGCTTATGCTAGATATCCTTACTACGCTTGCCCTGTTCTGATCTATGATCTGCTCCTTTGCGTGATCAGCCAATTCGTTGTAACTCGTGAGTCGCGACTGTCTTATTTAAAAGAGTTGGCGAAGAACAGGCAAAATTCAGGTATGTGCATATCTCTTATAGCTCAACCTCGCTCAAAATGCATTCACAATCATAACTTATCCTATCCTTACCACCTTATATCTCCCTCCAGGTAGTAAGGATATCGAGCTAGCAATACGGTCCGCTCGCTAATTGCCCTACTTTGGTATATGAGCTACTAGCAGAATAGCATGTAAATGACTGCAAGGCAGATTCGCCAAGCAACATGGATATTGAATTAGTATTAATAAATCATTAACATCATCACTTAGTCCAGACCTCTTGACAAGATCCAGAAATCATACACGGCAGAGAAGAACCCCGTCCAAGAGCAACAATCTTTATAATAGCTGCCGCACACTCGAGGCATCATTCGATATGGATTCCTGTGACACGATGGTGGTCACTTTGATCTTGTTCGAAGTGCCTTCCTCGAAACCGCTTGCCTTGTCGTCGCCGCCGCCCTCCGGGCCGTGGCTGACCGACTGCAAGTGGAAATTAGGCTGGCGGCCGGCGACAGAAGCATGGAAGTTGGAGAACTGGGTGACGCGGCTGCGTTGGGTCCTGGTGCGGGTGTTGCTCCTGGTCTTGTAGCTGGAGAGGAAGCGGGGGAGGAGCTTGGAGATGAAGGCGCGGATGCCGGGGAGGCAGGCGCAGATGATGGCGACGTTGCATTCGATGGCGGACCACATGGCGGCGCCTGGGTTATCATCTAGGAGTTGGGAGTTAGTTTTTTGCTTCTCCGGTAGACGGGGTTATGTCGACGTGGTGAAAACGCACAAGTTGGGTCGGACGAGTCGGAAATGACCATGAGACTCTTCAGTCGGAGAATGCTGGTTATCAAGACACTTTGATTCGTGGACAGTCAGCAACCCGAGTATGGAGGCCTAGCGGATGAACGAAAACTCACAATGAGCCCAGAGCGAAGACGGTCATAAGGGCGTATCTTTGTCGTTTGGGGAGTTGCAGGTTCTTGAGCACTGGCATGGGGAATACCAAGATCAGGATATCCGTGAAAATGTGGATTGCCGAGTTGGAGAACCAAAGGGCTTTCTCGTTAAGACAATACCCAGGCTTGTCAGGATACCAAAACTTGGACACGGGTACGCAGGTGACCCAGGCACTGATGAATGTCCATGATCCGTAGGAGGCCAAAAACCCAATCAAGCACCAACAGGCGAAACGCATGCGCGGTGTCGAGAAAACTCGTTTGTATTGTAGCAGAATCGAGGCTTTGGTAGTAAGCAGGCTCGCTTGATACAAGGGTATCGTTGCCCAGAAACACTGAGGGTACACATCAGCCCGACATCAAGACGATAAAGCAATAAACATTTCCCACCTTCATTTGTTTGACAAGAATGTCTGGCGGGATCTTCCCATAGTGCTCTCCCATTAGATACTTGACCTCTAATTGTCCACTGTAAGCACCAAACGCAGGCAAGCACAGCCGTCCCTGGCTTCAGAAAGGGCATATGCATACCTCCAATAAACAGACCGAAAAAAGCCCAACTGAAGGCCTGCGAGGTTTAGCCGACAAATCCGACCATGGCTATGGAACTTCTGCGAAAAGGCTTACCAGAGCCACAATAATAGTCCAATCGTCGGCGCCCATCTGCTTCACAAGGAATGTTCGTGTATAAATCCGGATAAACGTGAAAACAGTGGCTAAGGTGGTAAATGCAATGCTAACAGAGAGGGCCTCCCGGCCGCGGGCTGTGCCGAATGTCATTTTCTTTTTGTGCACTGGGGCCCCAGGAAGAACGAAACGCGAAAGAATGGAAGATATCGAGCAGATAGAGATTGTAGTGCAGGTAGCAGGAGTAAGGATCGTAAGGTAATAATAGTAATGAGTGACTTCCAGAACAACCTAGTAGTGGTGCTCAGTAGTGGGGAGAGGCTCCAATATCAGTTGTTCTCCATGCGGTGCACATTGCGAAGGAGTCAAACTCAGATTAGAAGGATTGAACGTCAATGTAAGAGAGCACTTCAGAGGACGCCAGCTTCATATTATCAAAAAATGTCAGAACCCAACTGAGAACAGAAACATGGATCATCTAAAACCTGATATCGCTAGGCTCCAGAAAAAAGCGGAGAGAGTCGAGTAGTACATCCTTCGGGCTCCAACCAGAAATCTTATCATGAATGATGGCCAAGTTTGGATTGCACTATGGACGCTCAGACCTCAGGATACAATTCCTTATTCCTGGTGGTTCAGGATCATCCTATTGGGGTCCATTGGCTGGCGGCTTAAGGTTCATGTACAGTTAGTTAAGCGATAGCCTAACAGTAGTTATTGTCTAATAAAGTAATAGTATCGGAGGTAATGTGGAGCGCTGGAGCTGATGTCTGTTGAGAGTTTATGCCAGTGACCAGACGCCTCAGGAAATCAGAACAGAGTCTAACCTCCACGTGAAGAAATTGGAATAAGGATCGGCAAAATGTCGTTCAGTCATTGGTTCTTGGAAGAGTCAATAGTTGTACTCGGCGTTTTAGGGCTTCCACTGTATCCGGAACATCCTTCAAGACAGCCGCGGCTCTCAGGAGACTGACAAAGTGACATCTAGAGAATATTTAGTAGTTCGTTCGATGGTTCTAACAACTGGCCAAGAAGGACAATATCACAGCCCAGACTCGTCATTTCCGAATTGGGGATTACGTAGGCCCAATAAGGAATAATGCCTCCAGATCAGAATTGATGCTGGTGAAATGCTTGGGCTGTTCCTTGCCTCTTTTGGTTGAAGGGGTTGCCAGGACTCCCACGAGGGTAGAAATATGGTTCAGGACGGTACGTACGCCCACGGATCGTAGGCGGAATGTCTCCGTATGTTCCAAGCACCATCTTTATCAGACTCAGACTCAGTGCGGTAGCCATTTCCGAATAAAGACATTGTTGTAACACCGGGACTCCCGGGAGTTTATGACAATCATTCGACTTTGACTTTTGTGAAGTCTGATGCTTCCATGGCTTGCCTCGAAAAACAGATCCAGGAGACACCCGCTCCCGTTGTAGGAAAACGGACCCAAATGTCCAGGTACAAAATGTCAGTGACAGTGACAATTGACAACTGGTGGGTTTGGCCTGTTGGTGAACCATGGCTCAGTCGGCATGACACTCACTCAGTCTGGCCCGCCAATCGTCGAGTTTCTGAGTGGTATTCTTCATGCCAGACCCGCCCGTCAACAAAAAAACGAACGTCTGGAACAAGACAGATAGATGCCCGATTCGTGATGAGCAGCACATACTCTCCCTCTATCTCGTCGACCTTCAAGATCTTCTTCAGTTGCTAGTTCATCCTCGGGTCAAAGGCTCGGCGCAATATTTACATTCGTCTGGGGCACAAGTTCCCACGAGGGTAACCTGTCCCGGCGCAATGGCTTGAACTTGTGCGCGATCATGTCGATCATATGCACGACTTGCCTAGTATCTCCATTCCTAGGTTAGCGCTATAGACCACCGTCGTCATCATGCTATTCCGTATAGCCAAGCTTGTTGCTCATGCGAGGGGGTAATCGAGACCCAAGCTCCTGGGATTCAATGGTTCAATCACGAGGAGACTGCAGTGTATTCGAATTGTCGATAGTGCCACTTGGACTTTCAGAATGGCGAATTTTCTGCCGCCAACTGCAATCAATGGCGTGAGAACGACTTACTAGCCTGGATCCACCCATCCACCATCGAGTCCGGGCGTTATTAGTCTTGACTTTTTCAGTCTTTAGGCTATAACTCGGACGTGATTAACGCAAAAAGGAAAAGGCCCGGCATTGACGCCTTGACGCCTCCATGGCGGGACCACGACTCTGTCCACGTTTTGATTTGCACTGTAGACGCACTGTTGACCAGAAGAGATACTACGTAAGAGAATGGCGTTGATCTTGTAGGATAAGCCTGAAAAGTGGCACCTATTAAATGACTGGCGTCGACTTCGAAGAGAACACTAGCAGAGAAGCACAAGAGAGATCCTCCTACACAGCTCTGTATGAATGAATGGAGAATAAGGGGCACCACAGTCTCGGCAGGTCGAGTCACAAGCTGCTTACCGTTCAGAACACAGGTTCGGATTCTTTTGGGCAGGCGACAAGAATACCTCTGCCGTCAGGAGCACTCTCTGCTTCAAAGACTGTTGAATAATTCATATCCTTGTCGTTCTGATTATTGTTGAATCCTGAATGAGCATCGCATCGTGGAAAAGGGGTCAAACAACATGACAACAGTTTAGGTTACATCGGCGAATTTAGTCGGCCCTCATGGAATCGCGCAGTGCTCATGTACTCCGTACTGTGATCGACATATCTCCTAATGCTGTCCGGACATGACACGATGTTCATACCTCAGGAGTATGTCAAAAGTACGGAGTATGCGGAAGGAATCGAAGGAGTCAGCCAACGAAGCTTAGCGAGTAGTGAGTGCCTCAGGCAGGATGATATGTAGGTTCTCGCCAAATATCTGGTGCCTCAGATAGTAACCCAGATAATCCATAGCGCTTCTGAGGCCTCAGTGGCCATTACTACAATGAGGATTCATCAATAGCATGGTGCGGGGTGTCTTTACTGAGCAGATGTGATGGTCGCAATTGATAAGCACAGTTAAGGAATCGACCTGATTGAGAGTAGCGATCATCACAGACGGGATCATTCCAAAGCAGGACCGTCTCCATCTTGATTCAGCTCGTCCAAACACAGGGTCCGTTTGGGTTGCGAATCCTGCCATCGCCCCAAGAACAAGTGTGATAAGCGTGTCCCTGCTCCAACTGCTGCCGCTTCGGCGTTACATGCGATATCACAACGTCGGTCTGGGCTGCGAACATGCAAGCATTCGCCTGAAATTGAGACTGAACATAAACTGACGAGGCGAGTATCTCAACTATATCGACTGGAAACATGATCATGGTGTCGTCGCAAGAGTATCCTGGTCTGCTTCTGTCTCCTCCAACTCTGTAGCACTCGATCGGGTAAACCTGCGCAAGTCCAGGTTTCCCCTGCAGATCACTCGAAGATCAATACCGCTGTCGAGGATGCCAACAATGCAGTGCCATTGAGGCCTCTTTCGTTCTCTGCAAGTCCCTTTTTGGCTAAGGTTGTGACCCAGGTAGGTTGATCACGTCGACAACTTGGCGTACTCAAAATGAGGTATAGACACTAATAGGGTCTTGGGCCAGTCATCTGAACAATGTCCGATGTCTTTCAACTGAGAGTGGCGGCAATCGCCAGTCGTTGCTGTACTCGATAATCAGAAGATTACTTCGCATTTTCAATTGCCTGGCCAGGACCGGCTCATGGGCGCAGGGTCTACCCGGCAGACTCTGGTTCGTTTATATTTCCAGCGGATAGGTCAAAGGCCCTCCCCCGTCCTTCGCTGAGCGCCTTTCTGCTGGGGAACAAGCCCTATCTTGACTCTATATCGGAGCATCCGAAGCGCCTTTCTTCCCCTCTATTATGCTGCTGCCTCCGCGCTAAATGAGCAAGAATGCATGCGGATCTTAGCAGTCAAAACGGAACCGCTCGTTGCGAGGCTCCGCGCGGAGTTGGAGACAGGTCTGGCAAAGGTCAGCTACTTCATGACCAATGACCTGACTGCCATGCAAGCTTTTGTCCTTTTCTTGGTAGGGTCTAGCGGAAATCATAGCTGACCGAAACCCTCTGCTAATTCGGAGATCGATGGCGACCTCGAGACCAGATTTGATGGCTATGGACTCTTCTGGTTTGGCTGTTCACATTGACTAAGCACTGTCACTTCATTTGCCTCAACCTTCGTTCCCAATTCGCCCACCTGGAAGAGAAATACGAAGCGTTTATGGCATGGCATTGGCTTTCTCGGCATAAAAACCGCCATGGAGCGTGCCTCTGAGCCGATTATGCAAGCAAGTTGGTTTGATTCGCATTCACTTGCCAATGCATTGAACTTGGACTATCGGATCACGGAATCTGAAGACTTTACCAAACTCACAGTCAATCCCAAGGACGTCCACGAAAAAATTCATCCTCGACGTCCAACAACCAGCGACCAAACTCCTCTGAAACTCCTGACAGATGAATCCCTTGCCCTAGTCTTAGATCACACATGTTCACTCAGTACGAACTCCTCCTTCCCCAAGACAGTTGCCGGAATCAGCCCGTGGCCCAATGCTAGGGTTTCAATGGAACAGTGATCGAATATTGGAGAGTATCCGTGAGGCACCATGGTTGCCCTACGAAGACTTCATCGGAGATCTATATGACACCATTGATTTCTCGCTGATACACAGCCGCAACGACTTCAAGGGATGGAAATGATAAGAGCTCTTCCGCTCACATAAACCTTTAGGCAAATTAGAATCTTTTTGTTTCAGGCTGCGATCTACCTATAGTACATCGTTAAAGGAACCCGTGCATCACCCAACAGATTCCAGCCCCGAAACCCAGACGCCATGTTTTTCAGATTGCTGGTTCTTTCCTAACCCTCACCAAAGTTGAAGACCGAACGGTACGGTTTTGGAGGTGAGGAGTTCCTCATGAAGTTGAGAGAATGAAAATGAACGAAAAGATTATCGAAAGATATCATGCGAAAGAAAAAAGGGTATTATTGTACATCAATAGCCATGCAGAAGAATAAGGACGAGGACTAGCGAGTTTGAAAATCGAAATGGACAGCCGTCATTGAGGGGGAGGATCATCCAATATTCATTTCGTTTCTCTCGTCCAGAGTTCAGTAATAATCCTCTTTCTCTATTACCATGATCAACTCGGTAAGTTCCTTACGCAATGAGCGGTTACGGTCCCATGCTTCGACGATCTTCGGACGATGGCTGAGGAACACGGCTTTCTTCCACGAAAGCCCGTTGTACTGTGGTGCAATACCCGTCGGTAGGTTTCGGGCAAGGTTGCGCAATACTAGCGCAGCCTTGTAGGCCACTCCGAACGGCTCGCCCCGCTCATTGACTGGAGTGTCTAGGTAGTACCACTTGCGGACGATGCGCTCTTGGAGCACCGCCCGTTTGGATGTCGGTGGCTCCGCATCCGGGGCACGTTCCTCGGGCAAATGTGCGGAGACGTGCCCGGCGACCATTGCAGTATTGGCACTGGGACCAGACGACCGGAATTTCGTGCAGTTGTCCCAAAGGCAGGTATGAACGGGCGATTCAGCCTTCTCCAGGTTGTAGTGTCCCGGCGTTTCAGTAGGCTTGAGATTCATGTGTTCCGTAAAGACATGATGGCGAAGTTCTGCGGGCGACTTGAAAGCGCGCTGGCACGTCTTGCTTGGTTTCGAGTTGTCCGCCCACTTGCAGTAAATGTAGGGAAAGCCCTCGAAGGTATAGGCGGTCTCCAACGGCCGAATGCCTTTGATGATGAATTTTGTCGCTGCACCAGGACCATTGATGACTTGAGCCTGCGCGTTCGTGAAAGTGGTACTGACATTTTTGATAAATTCAGCCGCAGGGAGAACACCACCACCAGGAAGACGAGGGTCTGCAAATCTGCTCTGATACGCCTGCCACAATGCAATTTGGGTGATCTCACACTCGAGGTCCTCAACAAAGCAGCATCGGAGCCAACGCGAGCTCCGCTCAGGCTCCGAAAGCTCCATCAGCTCTTTTATGAGCTCAGGCGGTACCCGAGGGATATCCGACGGCGGGGGGGCCACCTTTTCTTCTTGCAACACAGTTTCCTTCTTGCTTGGTCGGCCTTCGTGTGTTAACAATGCGACCATCCGGGGGACGAAGACGGTAGGCAAGTTGAAGACCTCAATCATACTCTCAACGTTCTCGGATGAAAGTGTATACTGGTACCAAAAGTCCAGTGCACCACTGAGAATATCTTTGTCCAAGTCGAGAAGAGTGTGAAAGTAGAGCTGCTGCAATGTCTCCTTTGGTATCCGTTCCATTGCCCGGTTCGCCTCTGGCTCGTCTAATTCAGTGGAGAAATGGGTGAGAGCCCATAGTGCGCGGACCACGTGAGCGCGATCAGGCGACTCAAGACAATTGAGAAGTGAGATCCAAAGTGGATCCTCCGGATCGGTCTTCATAAACTTGGTGACCTCCTCTGCAATGTCCAGAGCATCGTTCTTGATCTCATTGAGACGAGGCTGATTGGGCATGTTGATCAAAATGACAAGGAAGTCTCGGAGCAAGCCCTTGGCGTACCGTGACACATAGTAAGCATTCTCTTTCAAAAGCACCATGTTTCGCAGGACTAAGGTCGCCTCTTTAACATTGCGGAGAAGGTGGTTGAATTCGTACGTCTCGAGGGTGTCTTCCGGCAACGTAACTGGTATTTGTTTGATCTTGTCCAATAGATCTCGTGTGCCGTGTAGTGAGTTCAGCACATTGGCGCGATCACTGGGTTGCTGATTATCATACTGAAGCTCCCACTTCACTCCGGTTGTGACAAGGGAAATATCCAGGGCCTTTGCCATGAGGTTCTCCGCAAGCAAAGGGAAACCTTCAAACTTGAATTTATCCCATCGTTGGTTCGAAATCTGAACAAGGTGATATAATGCAAAATCCACCTCATCGGGGATTCCTGATTGTAGACCGTAGTGGGCTCTTTTATAAATATGATCGGCTGCATGGCCGGGTCAGTAATAGGTCTCGACAAGCAGGCGGTAGCAATTTGACGGCAAAAATCACGTACATTTGGGTACCTCGAGATATTTGAGCGGAAAGTAAGGATCATAGAAATCTGGTTGCTTAGCCACCTTCCCTCGATCGTGCAGGGTCGCAAAAAGGCCAGGTCTGTTCCCGGGCGTTGCTACCTCACGCGTGGACATTGGAATTTGTCTTTGGTCCCTCCCTTCCCAATTCTCGGGCATTCCTTGAGGAATATTCGACCCCATTGACGCGGTGGAATGTGTATGTGCTCCGGTTGGCTGCGGCGACAGGTGCGCATTTGAGTGCGAGCGTCGAACGGGTGCAGTGTCTGGGATGAAAGGTTGGTTGACTTTTGGAGCTTGCCGCAAGCCTTCTTTAAATCAGTCAGCAATCTAGGTCGGAAATCATTTTGAAAAGGATGATAGACTTGCCTCGTAAGGACGAGCGCGGTGTATTGTTGGACATTGTGAGTAACTCGGTTAATATCCTGATCCCAATGCTTCCTGGAAACGCTCTCTTCGCTACCGGGACGAACTGAGCCGCGTTGGCTGGACTTGACCGCGCCGATGTAGCTCCAGAATATGTCCACTATAACGTGCTGAGACCAGTTTCGCTTCGTTGGAAGAGAAGTCCTGTTTGAGACGCGCCGGCGTAGAATTTGCTGAGGGCGTCGGGTTACTCGTCCAGGCGTGTTTCGAAAGGAGAGGAGATGAGGCAGGGTGAACGGAGTGATACAGATACAGGCTGACGGCTTTTACCAGCAAGGTGAATGTTTGCGAAGCTTGTTTGATTGTCACCCCGCGAAGGGAGATCGGCCGCGATTTAGAGCTATCGGAAGCCAACCGATGAATGCGACTACAGTTGTGAAAGCAACGAAGCTTCGAGAGGACAGATCTGAGGTAAGGAATGCGATTTTCTTTCTGCAGTAGAGAAATTAAGTCGCGACAAGGGCAGGCCTAAATCAAGCGTCAATGACCTGGTTGTGCTCCTTCAGGCTGTGTGGAGGAAGTTGATCCTGCGATCCTCGTTCCTGGCATCCCAGGCAAAAAGTCCGCCCATCTGCTTTGGCCTCAGGCGCGTGTCCGGATTATATGTTGTTCCGTCCGTGAATGTCATGCATGTTTGTTATGTTTGGATGTGCAAGACTTGGTGCCTCAGGCATGAGCCACTCTTTATACAGCTTTTCGAACGTCGTCTTCAATATCGATAGGAACTTCACTGCGACTATCAGCAGATATGCTACGACCACTTTGATACTGGGCTTGATCATACCGGAGCTCTTTTGTATTGTAACGTTTGATGACATCATGGAATGTTCCCACCGAGACCAAGGTATAAAAAATGTCAGAACTGGATAGGAGGACTCAAGCATATATCATAGAAAGAATCAACAAATGAGGTCAATTTTGGTATGACTGCCTGAGGCCGTCCGGTTGCTGAGCCTTGATTATGCCATACCATCCTCAGTGCATTCTGCTATTCTTTTATCATTGGACTTCTGATACCATTCAGCTGCTACTCCATATAGTTAGACCGGATTAAATTACCCTTCTACACCTGTGACTAGAGACGAAGGAACTTCCTAATGTATCATTTATCTCAGAGAGTCCATGAGTCTACTCAGCTGGCTCGGTTGTCCCTCGCAAAGTTCTCTCATACCACGACCAGCATTCATCATAACGGTCCATTGAACTGGAGTCATGTTTTCAGCAATGGAGACATTGTATGTTCTTTCCTTAAGGGTTCAGGAGGGATATCCTCAGCTCAGAGCCCAATCTTTCTGAGAGTGTATCAGGACCAGACTATCATGGTATTGTCCCACGGCCTTGGAGTCCCTTGAGAGGTTACCACTAATTAACCCGTACAATGACTTGACTATTGCAGGAAGAAGTTGATCTTGGACACTTCATCCAAGAAACTTCTAGTCATCACATGTCAGGACAAAGCGTCCATCCCAGGGCTATCTTCGCCGTGGTCGTCAAGTTGCCTTGTCTCGCAGTGAAATATCCAACAGGCAACGGATTCGTAAGTAACACACACCTCACTGTACGAGCCTTCATCTCACGCAGTCAAGATCCGCCGGTTTCAGCTAAAGTTCTCTTCGGACCGCGAGTTCTACACAGCTCTGGCAATTCTGAGCGATATCAGGTGTCCATTCTCGGAGTCGAATGTGGGATCATCACAGCTCGCTCGAAGACCAACATCCTCACAATGGCATTCACGCTCAGTACCGTCTAACCTAGGCATTAGAGAACCCTTCGCCTCCAGCGCGAGCGCAGCCCTGTTCCCAGTACTACCATCCGCTTCTGCATTAGGAAGTACATCTAGCATCACTGCCGGTAGCGCTGCGACCCAATCCACACACTCACAACAAGCTCTTGCTAACACAAGTCCTCTGACAGCGTCTTCGCTACCTCCATCTTCATCTGGTACAGCTCAGGCAACGGCTCCAGGCACAAGTGTAACAGGATCAACCAACAGCTACACCGAACTGGAAACAAGACAGCCCCAAGCAATCAGACAACCACACACCGGGGAAGAGACTAGGCCCCACGCTCCAAGCGCTCCACCCAAGCCGTCCA